ATTTCTTATTGAGAAGAGGTCTTGAGAAGCAGGTCTTTGGAGGAAGCTGGAAATATTTTTTTTCAATTTTACTCTTTCATTTTCTTGTTAGTCTGCTTAGACATTTTTAGATATCCCCCTCCCATTTTTTCAACCCATCCTTTTGTAGTTTCCTGTATTCTAGCGGCTTGGTTAAACATACGGCAGTAACAACCTGCTGGCAATGATGCAGTGAACTAGGAGGGTCTTCACCCAAAGACACTGCGGAGCGAAATATTGTTTCCAAGGCCGAACTTAGAGGCTTTTATGCTTATAACGAGTTAGTTAGATTAAAATAATAGTTTAGCTGTAGTATGTATCATGCTGCTCGAATGAAAGTATACTTTTGTCTTCATTTGATTAATAAACTAACGATCTAGCCTGGCTACGGGTACTCAAAAAAAAAAAAAATGGTAGTATTAGATCTTCCAATAATTTTAGTAGCAGATATAGTATATCTTCTTTTTTTAATATCTCTATTATAAAATATTTATTTTAGATAAGATTTTTTTTATATTTTATTAATATATACAGTATATATCAAATTTTGATTTTTGACCTGTGGGTCAATAGCACAGTGGTAGTGCTCCCAGGTCGCAACCACAAGGTCTGTAGTTCAATATTACTTAAAAACCAAAATCAAAAATTATCCTTCTGATCAGGTTTGACCGGTTATCCTGTGAAAGTTGTACTCAATCATCCGGAACAAGATCCAATCAGGTTAGGCTGCAGGAAGATGAGACTTTTGGCCTTCCATCGATCAGGGGCTGAGATTTATGGTCATACTACTGGAAGGATTGCATGAAGAAAGGCTTCTGGTCTAACCTACCACAGACACCCCCAAGACCCCTTGCCCTGGCAATTTTCAGGACCCCCACTCTCCTAGCTCAGAATATCCCAATCTGGTACTCCGCTTAATTGAAAATCAGTTAACAAGGACTGATCCGATGCCACAAGTGGTGACAAAGAAGGTAACATGTCCCCTTCCGAGGTCTGAGCGAATAATATCTGGGAATATTGGAGGGTATAAAATATCCCGTTGGGTACACATGAAAAAGGACTAGATTAATGAAATAATAACAAAAATTAACAAGCTCAATACTAACTAGCCTAGCCATGCCGTTGATGACTATGTATTAACCATCCGGCCCCTAGTTAGGTCAACCTACTTAAGGAGTGGTAGCTGGTTTAACTAGGATAAACCGTGATAGGTTATCATTAATCTGCATGTATATAGAAATATATAAGTTTGTATGAGATGATTGATGTCATGCTATGGATTTAGTTATCCACCAAATGTTAAGTTAATTCTTAATAAAGCTCACATCTAATACCAGTTATAGTTTAAAAAAAAAAAAAAAAAAAAAATCAAATTTTGATTTTTTTCTATTTAAATAGTAAAATCAAATCAAAAAAAAAATGGTTTATTAATGTATAGCATAACATATGTATATTTTTAATTATTCCCCTTCCCTTTTTTTCAATCCTTCCTTTTGTAGTTTCCTATATTCCAGTGACTTGGATTGACATATGACAGTAACAATCTGCTAGCAATTATATAGTGAACTAGAAGGATCTTTATCCAAAGATACTATAAAGCAAAATATTGTTCTCAAGGTTGAACTTAAAGACTTTTATATTTACAACAAGTTAGATTAGAATAATAGTTTAGCTGTAATATGTATTATTCAAATGAAAATGTACTTATATTTTCAATTGATTAATAAACTAATAATCTAGCCTGGCTATAAATACTCAAAAAAAAAAATAAGTATATTTTTATTAATTTTAAAAATAAGGGTGATATAAAATTTGTGATTATTGGCTTGATCTCTACAAATATGATCATTTTTTATTTTTTTTTAAATCCATGATTAGGCCAGCATAGTATGTTTATTAATCATTATGAAAATTGATAGAGATATATAGGGCAATTGCATCATGGCTAAACTAAATTTCATGCTAACTCACTCATCAATGGCTTTCTATTTTCAATAAGCTTTAGCCTCTAAGCGCAACCTTGGGAACAATATTTCGCTCCATAATAAGTTTTACAAATGGTGATTATTATTTTAAAAAATTATGTATTTATCAAAATTTAGTAATGTAATTTTGTTTTCTTAATATGTAAAAATTTCCATTTGACAAAAATTTAACGAAAAATAGGCTTTTGTGACATTTAAAAAATAATGCATATACTGTATATGCGGTGTGTATGCTGTATGCCTTTAATCCAATTTGAAATTTGATTTATATACTTTGCAAAAATTCGAAGTTTGATTGTAAAAAATCATAACACTAATACAGTATATAAGCATAAGCATTATTATTTAGCATTCAATTAAGAAGACGACCATTAAATATTTTATAATATTTTTTTTTACCAATGTTTTTTATATTTGGTCGAGTGACCGAACTTGATTTAACAATTGTTGAAAATCGTTATTTTACTGAACCGTAAAAAATCACGCAAATTGAATTGAATATGGAATTTCCAAAAACGTTCGTAAAAACAGAGGTGGAGGTACGACCATGTTAAAATGGGAAACCTTCCGGAAGTGCAATATTCTGAGTGCTTGACATTTTCATGGACATATGACTTTTGATAGATGCTCTTCGTAAATACATTGTGTAATAATATTCATTCCTGGACGAAACTTTAGAAACGAATATCCCATACAAATTACATAGAACCTGATTTACCTGTGTTTTTAAGATAGTAGTTTTTTTATGTTTAATGTCTACTTTTATCCAGGCGAAGCAACAAATGTTCCAATTTATCAGACAGGATTGCTTCAACCTCGATTTTTCTGCTCTTTGTTCGGAGGTGATTTTAAATCCTCATTTTCATTACTTTCCAAATTATTGTAGTAGATGATTGATGATGATGATGCAATATTTCAAATCCACGGTTATATAAAACGTAGTTTTTACGGTTTACCAGATATTTCAATAAAAGAAAGAAGAAAAAAAAAGAATACACCGACCCCAGACAAAATCAAATTAGGAAAGGCCAACCGACAGAAGGAGAAAATAAATACAAGTCGGATTGGATAAAGAAAAAAAATGAAAAAAAAAAAAAAAAAAAAAAATGAAAAAACAATGAAATGAACCGATCATCAGGTAAGGTAAAAGAGTTAACGATTAAATAATTAATGAATAAGCACAAGAGACAAAAACCGACCTCATGTCTCTCATTTCGCTCTCATGATCCAGAGGCGAGTATAATCGACAAATCTACTCTGATTCGATCATCATCATCTTGTCATCTCAAAAAAATCAACTCTACAAGTCGATTAGAACTTTCCTGAAAAATAAAAATTTTTGTCGATGCCATTTGAAAAAAAATGATTCATCTAGTCCACGTTCTTCTACAAATACGTGCCAGGTGAAGCTTTCTGCTATATCAACAAATATAAGTATACTATATTGCAAATTGCACGCTCTGGTGGTGAATTATTATGTCATCAGCAATATGTCCTAATAAATTCATCCTCCACACTCCATCATCCAACAATGTGATCCACACGTGATTTAAGTTAACTCCAAATAAAACTGAACGTATCTACAATGGTTCCAATAAAATAGATATTCCATAGTAAAAAGTGATTTACCAACAAAAAAAATTCTAGAAAATTGACTCATCGACGGTAGGGGCTGGGAGATCGGCCACCGGTTCTATAATTTGGGCTAAATCCACGTAGACCGAGAGGTGAAGCGCCACGTGCATCTATAATCATATGTCAAAATAGAATCGAATTATCAGATGACTTCTCAATGACGGTGGACAGTGCTAGATCGATCGTGTACTTACAAGGGTCCGCAGAGCGTCTAATAAAAATTAAAAGAGAATAACGTAAATAAAGTAGAAATGGTGCAGGTGAACATCGAAAATGGGGTAAAAAATCATCACGAACCCATAATTTTCCATGGCGACATGTCTGTCTCTACGGTGTTGATCCTTTTTACCCAAACCGATGTCCCTTTAAAGAGAAGGTCAAGCATAAGGATGAGTTGACTACGTCGTTTGATGAACTTTTTCACACGATTAAAAAAAAAAGGTAAAATACCAATCTAGCTTAAGACGACGACCTTCCACGTTTGTTCCGTTGTACTTGTCGAAAGCGTCCTCGGCGTCTCTTCGGTCCTCAAATTCGACGAAGGCGAACCTGACGAGTCGGAAGGAAGAAGGGAAATGTCAAATATTATACATTGTCGCATACTTTCGCTAAAGGGAAATGAATGACTGGATAAACAAATGTTAAGGCAACTCACCCTTTATTTCTTCCAGTATGATGATCAATTTGGACGGTTACTTTCCGTAGACGACCGTAACGTTCGAACATGTCGGCTACATCTTGCTCACGGAAAGAATAAGGAAGATTGCCAACGTAAAGGGTGGTGGAGTCACGCCGTTCCTTGTCGGACCCACTATTTTGACGTTTTAAAAAGTCAAGGCCATTAAAAAAAAAAAAATAAAAATAAAAAGAACGTGGAGAACTTGAAAATTAAAGAGTGAAACAAGACGAATAGGAATAATACCGATCAACTGGTTTGCTCCTTCTGGGCGGACCCCTTCTTTCGGAGCCGTAGGGGTAGCCTCTTTCATCTCTGTAACCTCCGCTACCGCCTCTACTGTATCCACGATCATATCGATCATCTCTAACATACCGATCTTCTCTGTATCTGTCATCTCTTCCGTTACGATAGCCACTCCTGGGAGAAGGACTTCGACGCCTTGGAGAATAGGATGAGCGACGATAACCACGGGGTGATGGTGAGCGTTCCTTTCGGGAGTAAGGGTGACTGTTACCGCCAGAAGCAACCTCTGGATGTTGCGGTGGTGGTGGTGGAACCGACGATTCTGAACGAGAATTTCCGTTTTGATCCATCTGAATTATATGCGAAGACAATGCCGAACCGGAAAAGAAGTCTCAAAAGACCGATATTATTGTTTTTGCAACATAAACACATATGTTATTGTGACCTACAAGGTTGTACAACGTGACCAACAAGTTCTTCATGTGATAATTAGATCTGCACTAATTGAAGTCGAGTCAAGATGGAAACGAGAAACGAGAATTCCGCGTCGCTCACACGCAGCGAAGCGCGAATACTACGAAAGCTTCGGTTGAAAAAGCAACAAGCTTACGAAGCCGTCGCGAAGTTCGAAAAATTATCTTGCGATCAACTATTTTCTTCGGAGCCCACACAATACCTATGCTTGATAAATGTTTGTTCCGGCGGAGTTGGGAGCGTTACGACGGAACAATTGTCACAAACATTTAGCTCGTTCGACGGTTATACAGAATTGAGGCTAATGCACGGGAAGGTGAATTGATATTTCATGTGGGCTCTTTGATGATACTTCTTCATAACCGACAACGCTTAGAACACCGTGTACGACTTTCTGTGTAGCCCTATTCGTTTGTATTGTTTGGGTCAGCTTCTGCCGCTTTGTTCGTTCGAAATTCACTTCATGAGAAGCCCTGTGAGCTTCTAAATGGAAAGGTGATATTCATCGAGTTTGTGAATTTGAATCAACAAAATTTCATGAGGCAAATTGCGGTCTCGGATAAAAAAAACATCTCGGGTTTATACCTGTCGGAAGAATTTGTATCGAAGGAATTTGAAGAAGACATCTTGGAAAATATCTATGCTACCGCCGGTTGGATACCCGTGCAACATCGGAAGGCGGTAGGTTTCCGAAACACGCCTTTTCTTTTTTCTTAAAAATCTTTCATTGAAAATCATTCTCAATCGAAATTTATAAAAAAACAGTTACACTATGGACACTCCTTCGACTACGACTCCAATCAAGTTGGTTCGACTTCTCCTGAATTTCCACATTACATGGATTCGCTTTTGGATAAGTTAAAAGAATGTTACCCCTTTGTGCCAGAGATGGAACAATTAACGGTGCAATGTTACCCCGTCGGAACTGGAATCCCTCCTCACATCGATTGTCACTCATCGTTTGGGGAATACATTGTAGCACTGAGTCTCGGGAGTCCCGTCATCATGGAATTCAAGGACGTAAAATCTGGGAATGTGGTTAACATTGATCTACCAAACAGATCTCTGTTGGTTCTTTCCGGCGAGGCACGATACGCTTGGAGCCACTCGATCCGGTTAGATTTCTATTGTTTATGAAATTAGTTGAATGATTAAGTTAAACGCAAGGAACCTTGTTCTCACTTTGTCAACTCGGAATAGTGCACGGAAAAGTGATCAACTGGAAAGTGGTCAAGTTAGAAGGCGGGGTCAACGAGTCTCGTTAACACTTCGGACAATCAACCCGGAAAAAATTTGCAAGTGTTCGTGGCTAGACTTTTGTGACAAAAATATTGCTCACCTGGAGTTCAACCATGTCCCCCAAAATCTTGCACCATTTATCCCTAGAAGCAAAAACAAGAAGAGAGCAGTATAGCGAAACGGGAATTTTGCTATTCTATCGATGCAATGCATTTTTTCGCAGTGCAGGTACATGCTGAACGTTTTTCTGAAATGCGTGAAGAAAAAAAAAAAAAAAACAGTACATTAGTAACTTCGTGGAATTAATCTCTCGTTTTTCGATATGTCCCGAAATTTTCAAAGACTCCAAAAAAATTTCGCCTCGAGTGCACCTCAAAAAATCCACCGGTGTTTTCTCAAGCGTTTGGGTGTAGTGTAACTGGTTGTTTTCTTTAGTATTTACGAGTAGATTGATTCGCGCCATAATTTTATTTATTACCAAGTAGAGTATATTTAATATTTAATCCTTTTTCGTTCATCCATAGCTTTAAATTCTTAATATCAATTGGTTTCTTCGGTCATTTCTCTCAAAGTTGACTTTACACTTTGCACTTCTTAAGGACAAAAATGATATTTGAAACTAGGATCATTACTTCATTGATTATCTCTTTATTTCATCATAAAGATCTTTTGAGATTATGGCGTGATAACAAGGGGACAAACAAAAATATGTAAAGTATAGATTTTTAATGTATTATAACATCTGAATACAACTCAACTCACGTTTTGATATTTTTTTCTAAAAAGAATTATAATCGAATTTTAATCATCGAAATTACACTCGTTGAATTTTAGGAATTGGATAGAACTAAAATAAAAATCGTAACTTTAACTTTGCTAAATAAATTATAAAATTCTTATTGTTCTCGTCTCCTGTAAATTGATAATGGGAAAATGTGAATATAACAAAGCAAGATGAAAAAAATGTTTAATTAAAATCACAAACCGTGGCGCGCATCGAATAATATCATCAACGCGTAAGATCATCTCCGCCGCCTCTGATGCACTTAGCAATACTTGACGTTTAAGCTTATACGATTCTGTGACACCAATTTCTCGCATGTCACCGATGGAATTTTCGGACATATCTATTAAACATATTCGTTATCATTGCGTCAGAACGAAAAATGCATTTTGAGAAAGGTAATTAATTACTTAATCCGCATGTTGATTTTCCCTCGTAATGAGCTGCTCTCAATCTGGCAACAAGATCCGCGCTATCGTAACCTGCGTTGTCAGCCAATATAGTGGGAATCTAAAATCGGATCGTTATTAGGAGATGGTGATCATACGCGAAATGGAAAATGAGGTGAACAAAGACCTGTCTTAATGCTTTGGCAAAGGACTCCATGGCAATTGCTTTCTTTCCCGCTGTTTTCGCTGATAATTCGTCTACTGCTTTGGACATCAACATTTCCGCGCAACCGCCACCAAAAACTGTACGTGTTTCCTTAACTGTTTGTGTCAAAACGCTTAGCGCATCGTGTAAAGATCGCTCTGCCTCATCCAAGAGTTGATTCGTAGCACCGCGCAACACAATTGTGCAAGCTTCACCGGCAGCGACGCCAGAAAATTTTAGTAGCTTTATAAACATTATCAATCAGAAATCCATGCTGTAATAAATCAAGCCAACTGCGATTCGCACAAAGGACAAACCTTATCTTCACCGATGATCACTTCTTCTATAAGATCACAATGTCCCAACTTTACAAGTTCAGGATGATCGAAAGTGGAAGTAATTTCACTGCCTAAACAACAAATCTCCATTTAGCACTTGAACTAAATATGAGAAATAGAAATAGATGGCTATTCTCACCAGTCACCAAAGCTAATCGTTCAACACCATCAAAATCTGCATGCTCGATTGATATGATACCAGCGTCCGCAAAAAGCTGTTCAGGCCAGTTGTAGATCAGCTGTCGATTAACAAAACAATTAATACCGTGGGCCTTAATCTTTTCAACTTTTTCCTTCATCTTATCCTATGGTAGTATACATAGAAATTAAACTTCAGTATGACGCTATCACCAGGAAAAAAAAGAAGTCAGGTAAAATGTAGTAATAATACCCGCTCGGCTCTTTCCAGCTCAGCTAATTTTCCAGTAGAATCAACTCGTACACGCGCACCAAATATTTTGATTTTGTCGGTATCCATAGCTAGAATTCACGTGCAGTACCATGAATACATAATACCGGTACGATAAGTCAAACGATCAATATTAACATACGTGTATTGGCGATTAAAATTTTGGCATTTTCAATTCTTTTAGGCTGATTGACGCCAATCTTTTTATCCAAGATAAAGCCTGATCACAATGAATATATGAGCAAACATATGATTACCATGAATACTGTAATGACAACACGTGATATTATTATTGTATATTAGCAATTACCTTCGTCAAGATAAGAATCCATAAGCCTTCCGCCGCACTTCTTGATAATTTGGATGTGCTCAAGATTTGTGCTGCCCTAAATGGAAAATCGAGTGAGTTCCTATGTTCCCACATTCAAATAATTGAACAAAACTTTCTCGGAAAATCCCAATACTTTAAGTCTCAATACTGCATCGACAGCAAGTTTCGCAAAGTAATCTTTGTCCTGTGATAAAACCTTGGAGCTCAACGTTGTTCGAGCAATATTTATAAGATCCTTTCGAAAAGCTTCGGGATCAGCTCTACAAATTTTTTTAGACGATGACCATAACGAAAAAAAAAAAAAACATTGAATTTAAATAAATCATTCCAATAGTTGGTTGGTATATTAATAGGTCATATATAATCACCCGTTGTCAATGGCCGAAGCTTCTAATGCTTTATATGCTGCTGCGCTGGCCATGCGGTAACCTTCAATAATAGTTTGGGGATGAATTTTTTGATTCACAAGGTTTTCGGCCTCACGTAATAATTCGGCTGCAAGTACACAGACGGAAGTTGTCCCATCTCCAACTTCGTCATCCTGCACTTTAGATATGTCTGGATAAAATTTTAAGGGTCAAGATAATATTGATGTTCATGATAACTATATAAATTCAGTCTAATTCTCGCGTGAAGTCCGCGAAATTCAAGGATACTGACAAGCACCTTTGCGGCTGCGTTATCAAGGGCTATATTCTTGAGGATCGTTGCTCCATCGTTTGTAACCATCACATCCCCGTTACTCGAAGATTGAAGAATCTTATCATATACAATTTACCGGATTCGCTTGTTTAGTAGCCCATCGCCAACGCAAATTCGAATAAACGAGTTCTTCATACCATTCCCTTCGGGCCCAATGTACTTTTCACTAAATCGCCAACCGCTATCGCCCCAATAAACGAGGACTAGCAAAAGAAAAAAGGCGTGGAACTAAATATCGACCAAAGACTTTGTTTTAAAAAAGCAATTCCGCCGAAAACATACCAGTCGCGCATTTTCAGCGCGTTCTTCGGTTGCCTCATCCTGAAAAATTTGCACAGGAGCTAAAGACTATATGAAATTTGAATGAATCAGTTTTATACGTTAATTAAATCTTTTTCACAAAAACCTCGTAACAGCTAACCATCTTGGAAAATGATTGATATGAAATCTTCCAATGATTGATCGAATGGAATCTCACGAAATCCTTTATATGCGAATCGTGAACGCTGATTTCACGTGCACGTGATCAAGTGCAATATATAAATAATCAGTCGTTCGTTGAAAATTGTTTTTACCGCATGACCACTCAAAAATTGAAAGGAACATATAGAAAGTTTATTCGACTGGATGAATGGATAATGTAACAGAACCGAAATCAAAATGATAGGAACGTTTAATTCTTTTTTAGCAGCAATAACAAATGCAATAAAATAAAGATAATCGGAATTTTTTTTTCGCGTACTCAACAATTTTATTAAAAAAAACGATTGCTCAAGTTTTCACAGCCAATAGTTGTTAATCATAATCCCAATTTATAGTGTCCAGAAACTTTTCCCATCGAGTGTACAATTATATTATAATCTAAGCTACAGACATGTACAATTATAGACACGTACCTAATTGTTGTGTTAATAAGGACGACCGATCACTGTGGGTTAGAAATGCCATCATGCGATCTGAAATTATGAAAGACCTGAGAACAAAAAGATTGTGGTCTAGATCGAGAAACCGATGTCAGACCGAGATTGAATCGGCAACCCTAATCTGGATTTACGGAAGATCTGACATTTAAAGAAATTGTTCATTTAATACAAGGGTTTCATTAATGCCTTTGCGACTGACGCTCTTCATAATCTCTTCGAGCGAATTCTTCATGCATTTTATCTTTATAATCGAGCAGCTAATTTTTTTTTTTTTTAAAGAAAAAAAAAGAAGTATTCAATGGTAAATTATATGCGCATAGAAAAGTTCAAAACGATTCGTCGTACCTCCTCCATAGTTACACCATCCTCGATGCTTTGTATAATCTTTTGCACGATTGCAGAATAATTCCCGTCTGATTTGTCATCCCGAAACCTTAAAAACCTCCATCTTTTTGATTCATCACGGAACACTTCGACTATACGGCCGTCAAGATTCAATCTCCTCTTAGAGGTTCGATCATCGATGATCACTTCTTTTTCCCGCCATCTAGATTTATCAAATATTGCGTAAGATAATTCGGAGACCTCACAGAATACATCTATGAAGGTGACACCTACTCTTCCCACTCATCTTCAACATATAAGTCGTCGTAATAACGATAACCCTTTTTACCCACGTTCATATGTAACTCGAATCTATCGGGCCTCTTATCCGGATGTTCGGGCCTTCCATTCAGATAAATGCATTTTAGTTTAAAATCAATGGAATTTTCCGTCGGAGGTTTCCATTTTAACCTTTGGATGCAAATTTCAAAAAATTTAATATCACTTTAAAAATACGACCGAGACCAAAATGAATGGGGTATACATCGTTTCGCAGGTTCCAATTGTATACGGGGCCGACAATGCCGTGAAGATCAATCCGTCACTACCATGTTTAAGAGTTTGCAAATTTTTATATATTTCGTCGAAATGGTATGCCTTTAACATGGGCTTGCACACCAAACTAATGCGACAGATTCCTGTTAGAACATTATGAGAAGAATGAATGGACCAACAGTAACGGCAACCTACTCGAACGGCAAATCTTTGCGATTTTCCCTCAACCTCCAGTTCATGTGGGGTTTGAGAACGTGTGTCTCAAAATACTCAAAATATGAAAAAAATCATTATAATCTCTTACAAATATACTCTTCAATTAGAATAAATAACTTACGCCCAATCTTTTCTGAAGTGGTCTAGTCATTAAATTTTTCGTCCTATCTACAAGACAATCGAAAACATACAATCTAACTATCACCTAAGAAATCGAGGAAATTTGAATAGAGTTTTTTTCGGATTCAAAAAATTAAAAATGAGAAAGAAGGCTTACCGTTCCATCCTCTTCGATATCGTTAACAACTTCGCCATCAAACAATGTCTCCTTTTGAAATCTAGATTGGTCATCAGGATCAGGAAACACCATGTCTTTAACTTGATAGTATAGGTTTTTTCGGTCAATCTACAGGCTCATTAGGTGAATTACATTGATTCAGATGTAATGCCAACTACACAATTACTAAATCGTACAAACCAGATAAACTTTTTGTTGGTTATCGTCCTCGGTCAAAAAAACCAGTACACGTACACCATCGGATTTCTCACACACATAATAACTAAATCGAAGATTATCGCGTTAACATAACAATGAGCGAAAACACGGAGAACATGCATATATAAAGATTTATTACTTTTCAACTATCAGTTTCTGTATATGAGTCCTAGTGAAACTAACAGGCTGGGCACCTGCAAGGATCAAATGTTAGCCAAGCTAGAGTGTTTGCGGGCAAAATCTCGTGGCCAAATTCGAGCAAAACGTACCGGGGAAACTTTAATAAGAAAATTGAGATAAATATTATAACTAGAATTATTCAGATCAAAAGCAGAAAAAACATAATTACAAATTCTTTTAATACCTATTGTAGAGTATCAGATTTATCCCATCATATTAGGCGTATTTAGAAATTAGGGGTTATTGAGAACTGAAAGAATCCATACTTGCAGTCCCTGCCAAGTAAATATTTAACTTTATCCTTGAGAACATTTGCGTCCTCCTTTTTGACCAATTCCCCAGGAATTTTAGGAAACACTAATATTACCATTACCAAAAAGAAGAATAAAAAAGAAAAAGAATGAAATCTTGTTGATTTGTTGGTTATAAATAAGATTATTTGTGAGACGAATCCACGGCGAATATTCATCAATCAATCATACGGTGTCTATCGGGTAATAGAAATAACTGAATAACAACTAACCTGGCGACGTACGTTTCTCATCCAATTTTATCGTTTTACGTACATTACGTACATTACGTACATTGTCATATCTGTTCGGACAAGTGAAAGGGTGTTTAGGATAATGAATCGGGCGTAATAGTGAATGTAATATCGTCATAACTGGTTGATTTCCTCTACTAGATCGATTTTTCGTTTTCCTTGAATCTTTTCTTCATTTCGTTCCTCGACCTTTTGAAATTTAATTTAATCCGATTAGCATTTAATCCGCAGATAAATTACTAGTAAGTAAACTCGATTTAAACCTCTTCCCCTTCCAAAGGACTTTCAATAGCCGTCGAACTCTGCAATGACGCGACACAGTTAAGTTCAGCTTTTGAAATGATAACTCGATAAAAGCCTAGCATAGATATAGTACTTTATTATTCGGTTCCATCGAATGGTTCGTGTTTTTCAGAGTTATCAGAATACGACTTAAATAAATGTAGACGCAGGGTTAGGTTCAATTTGTGAGTTTTCGAGGTTGATTCCTCCAGGAGTCTACCTCCGTTGAGCCACGTTCTGCCGAAGTATTCAATAGAGAGGGTGTCGCCTCATTCGACACGTAACGTTCAGTTTTATTTCCAAAAATTGATCGACAACATTGATTTTAATAACTTTCCTATTTCGTAATATACTGTATAGTATGTAAATTCGGTAAAAAATTTGTTTTACTTGACGCGTTTTAACTTAGGGCAAAGGTGTATATGGTACAGTTATATATTTGGTTATTTTCTTTAAAGATTTAAATACACTAAGTTTTTTTACATTTTTACATTTAAAATTATCAGTACCAATATTTAATAAAAATTTTGCTAATATTTTGACCTGTGGGTTCACAATGTAGATAATAGTTCTTAAATTTTTTTCTAATCGGGGTTTATTGGATTTTCTATAAAGCATCTGAAAATTGTTTTTTTTAATCTATTATCAAATTAGTATTTATTTATTTATTTATAATCAATTATGACTGGCTTATTGAGATCTATTCTAAATTTACAATAATTAATTTACTATTCTAAAAATATTTTATCATTTATTTTTAATTTTTATTCAACTATATCATTATTCTTTACATCTTTAATAATAAATAAAATTGGATTTTAACTTAAAAATTTAATTATTTGTATCTTTAATGATCTTTAAAAAAAAATGATGATAAAAAAATAAAGATAATTTTAGTTTATTAATGTTATTGATATTATTTTAATTAAATAATTACTAAGAAAATTACTTATTTAAGAATTAAACAAGATCTATAGTCAAAATAATCTTAAAATTTAATTATAGAATAATTATTTAATTTTAAAGATAATATAGTCTATACTGTATATGTAATATAATTCAAAAAATAAAATATCATATGGTTTGATCTTTATTGAGAAGTTATATAACTATCTATAATATTATTGATTTTTCACATAATGACTAACTCATCATTGCACTGATGTACTCTAAGTTAGATCTAGAAAATAATATTTTATTCCCTAGAGAATTGATAAATAATTTTTTTTTTTTTTTTTTTTTTTTTTTTTTAATTATAACTCGCAGTCAGGCCAGCATGGTATGTTTATTTAATCTTTAAGAAAACCGATTTCGATACATTGAGCAATTATATCATGGCTAAACTAAATCTCATATTGACTCACTCGTCAACAGCTTTCAATTCTCAAAAGAGCTTAAGCCTCTAAGTGCGACCTT